TTATAGCTTGCACGCAAAAATTATAGCTTGCACGCAAAAATTATAGCTTGCACGCAAATAGTCCGAACATCTTTGTACTGTCGACCAGAATTCGTGTATGAAGTTGCTACTGGGCTTTGGATTATACTGGAAAGGTCTTGACAACGCATCGGCTAAGATAGTCGTCTTGCTCTGCTTACGGTAAAAAAGTTGTTATCCGCAATTAAAGAAAATATCTTATCATTCTTTGCGATTAGTGACTCTTTACAGCCGTAAGCTGCGAGACATGTTTCGTATAATCTCAAAGCGCTCCTTTCCAAGCAAATAATTATTGTCCAAATAATTAATCTTTGCATCAGATCACTTTGACAATATATTCATTCAATGAAAGATTTCTGGTTAAAGATCAAATGTGACGTTTATCATGATCATCTTCGTCAGGTATTTCAAGCTGTGCGAGTAAATAGACTTTACGCCAACCTGCAAATGTGCACTTTCTTTGCATCTAAGACCTTCATTCTGGGCTGCTCTGTAGACAAGAATTTTGCTCATGTGCTTACGAAGAAAAGAAAAATATCAATGATTGGCCTGTGCCAAAAATGTGAAACTGCTGAGAAAGTGACTGAGTCTGGTGAGCTATTTGCATAAATACACGCACAGTTATGCAGCGTCAGGGCGAATCCTAACGACTTTTTAAAGAGAACGATGAGTAAGAATAATCAGAAGATCGCCAGGTGGTATTTTCCGAAGTGTGAAAAGCTTGCTAGAAGCTTCTGTCCTTGCGAACTGTAAACCACGACGAGCCGTTCCGTGTGGACTCCTATGTAAGTGACATGCCATCGCTTGTGCGTTGATATAACACGATGATAAGGGTCGAGAGCGCGTTTTTTAATCTCAGTCGCGACAACTTCGACCTGCGGAACGGAACTGTTTAGTTAATGACAGTGAGCTTCTAAAGATCCAACCCAATCATACTGAGAAAGAATCATCGATCGGGTTGTAAGTGTAGAGCCAGACTGATATCAGCGAGCCAGATCAAATCAACAGCTCCTCTTTAAGAAACTGGCTCAGCTGCATGGCGATTTTAGAGATATCAAAAAGAACAGCTCTAGAAATGAGCTAATTTTGCAGAGGAACGAACTGGAACCTTCTAGCCCATGTGGCGATTGCTACGAGCGAAATGTTCAGAGAAGCTGGTTATATCACAGGGACTGTCTGATGCACCAGCGACGTTCAATCCTCTAGTGAAGCAGCTGTATAGGCAAATCTTGTCTATGCACAAATCATGTCATCGATCATCGTCGAGATACTCTGGGACTACGATATACAATCGCTCTTTATCGTCTACTTTTGATTACTAACTTTTCTGCCTCCCGACTCTGCTCGAGGCATCTAACAATGTCATTGCTTTTAATTTTGGACTCCTTTGCAGCTCGTTTCAGCGCTAAGTACGACTCTTTTTCTCGCATGTCCTGCCAATGAGAAGTGTTCTTCATTCAAATTTTCGACTTTTGGTCGACCCATGGCTTGTGGCATTCCTGCCTCGCCGTGCATAGAATGAGATCGTATTACGCGTGTCTCAAAAGTCATAGCTATATCAGCAACCCAGCTAAGTCCTAAAATATATTTTTAGCCACTAGCGATGAAAATGATTTTAAAGGACTACAGTAGTTACCTGCACTCTTGATAGCGTTGTTCACATAAAGGCATCAGTCCAAGATGTAGGTGTGCATGCATAGTTTGCAAAGGCGCAGCATTTCTGATAAATAGACCACTTCACTTAGCGGATGTCAAAAGACAACAGCTCCAAAAACCAAGAAACGTGGGTCATAGACACGGCTTCCTGTCAGGAGGCATCTTCATCTTCAATTGGAATCGAGCTGACCAGAGATGACAATAAATACTTTGCAAGTCATTGCACGAATATGAAAGCATATATAGATTCACGCATTGACGCGTCTGTGGTATGTTACAGCGCTATCGCAATACATAGCTGCCTACGTTCACCACTGTAAGATACTATATCGGAACTTCACATAATTTGTTATGAATAAATTCTCAATTGCTCGATCACGAATCTTTTTCACTGATTGTTCATCGTTTCACGACACCGAAAAAGAATCTCATTTTCCTTCGGATAGCGTTGTTCTTGCCAATAATTTCTGCGAAGTTGCCTGATGTATTCATACAATGATACTTTGTGGTTTCAGGTCGTTTGGGCGATACCCATCCATCCGCTTCAAAGGAATTTTTCTTATCTGTCTAAAGTTATGACCACAGATCTTAAGCATTGTAGATATGGTTGCCAAGAACACCTTCGACTCAAGAAAGCACTT